GGAGCACGGGGCGGGGGGGAGCCGAGGAGGCTATTCACCCGGCCCGCGGCGTGGGAAACCTTCAACAGGAAACAATGCAGGGAAGAAGGGGAGATGTTCGGGCTTCAGCTCCGCTCGCGGAGGCCCCCAAAGTTGCATTTAAGCCGAACGATTGCTAGAGAGAAGATTTTCCAGCGGGGTCTGTGGAGGGAAAGCAGCTCCCCGTGGGAAACGCATGGGATTCGGGGGAGGAAGGAGAAAGACGGAGGTGGGCGGGAGATCAGGAAAGCATCACGGCCTCCAAGCCAGGAAAGCCACCAGCAAGCCTGACCGTGAAAGCTCTCTGCTCTTTGAGAACAAGCACCCACCCACGGGCTGCTCTCGCACAGGACCCGCTCGCCCCAGGAACGGCGGGAGCCCTGTCCCGGTACCTGAACACCCTCGCCCACCCCGATCTCTCGGTTAGCCACAAAGCCATGAGGGTTGCTGAGCTCTGGAGCGTTATACACGGCATTAATTACAACAATCACTTATTCCCATCAGCTCCCCCGTTGGAAACGGGACAGGCGCAGCTCGCTAGCATGCCACGGCACAGAGGAAAAGCAGCCGTGGCAAAAGCGTTCAACCTTTTACTGGCTGCAGGTAATAACAAAAGAAGGGAGAAAGCAGCAGCTTGCTTGCACGGGGAAGGAGAGAGCCGGGCAGCAGCTCCTGGCTCCTCCAGGCAGGGCAAGACAGCTCCAAGGGCCCGTCACTGTCGATGCACCAGATCCCAGCTGCGTGTGCAGTGTCACAGGCTGACAAAAAGGCCAGGAATGAGACACTGGGCCTCCTGCAGAGCCAGGACTGCGCTTCTCACTCTTAATTTATTGCTTTTAATTAAAAAGTCCAGCCCTGGAATGAATCCACCCGCAAGCGCCGAAGCAGAAGGCCTCGTGGTGGTGGGGCAGAGATGAGCGTCCCAAGACGGGGCTGCCTCGGTCACCCACGTTGCTTCTGCAGAGGAGCCTTTCCAAGGCTGTCCTGACCCCAAGCTCCCTCAAGAGCCCGGGCAAAGCCCGCCATGCGCAAAGTCGGGTTTACGGCGCGGATGTGGCTCCGATGTCCAGCGCCAGTCTCCCAGCTGCAACGCCAGCCCACTCCTCGCCCTGTCTGACCCAACGCCACAAGCAGATTCTCCTCTTCCAGGGCGCAGGAGATTTTTATCTTCTCAAATCCCAGCTTTCCAGGAATTTGGACATTGTGCATCAAGGACACGCTACATCAGCCATGGTCGCTAACGCCAGAGGCACACACGGCTGCATAGATACCCCACCGAGCTCTGAGAGGTTACCAGACGGCTCAGCTCGTTAGCTAACCCTCCAACTAATTGGCTTTATAAGAGAATTTTTTCCCCTGGAGGCAAGTTGGCCTGATAGACTCAGGAGTTGAAGCGTCCTCTGGCCACCTGGTTTGGTCAGTGGTGGTGGCCAAAACGGAGAAGCAGAGACCTCCTGCTGGTGGATTAAACCCGTCACCAGATTCGAGATCAGGAATAAGTTTTCTCCCAGGAGAAGAGTGGCCAGCGAACGCCAGGACTAGATTTGGTGGCCTGTCCCACCGCTAGGTGTTTTTTTGGGAAAGAGATGACTGCAAGCAGCGCTAGCCTGGAGGAGAACAAGGATGCAAAGGGAGCACGGTTTCTTGGGAAGCGAGAGCCACTCACGCTTTCACAAGGCTCAATGTATGCTACACACAAAATACTGCTGCTTCACAGAGACAGGAACACACCTCTCTGCAGAAGATTCAAATAATAAATACCACTTCCATTATACCATTTATACCAAAAAATCCCCCAAAATAAACAAGCAGGAAAACTCCAGTAGCCCGTTGGTAAAAGCACTGCCCTGGTGTCAGGACTCTGGGGTTTGTCAGCCGTCACGGATGAAGCGACTTCCCCAAATTGCGTTTATCTCAGTTGCCCGCTCCAAAGAGTGGCTGCCTTCACCCTGCCTCTCCCTGGCGAGCGGAGGAATTTTCTGCTTGCAGAGAGCGCTTTGCACTGAAGAGAGCGGCACCAGGAGCCAGCACTCGATTTGGCCATATAAGAAGTGTGATGGGTTTGTTTTGAAATCAGAGGCACAAAAATAGGAAGTGCTGGTGTTTCCAAGGAACACGACAACAGGCCACCACGATATCCCACTCCTCCCCTTCCCAACAGGCCAGCACGTCACGCTGCCAAGCATCGGGCTGCAGACGCGACAGCTCCAAAAAAGCCTGCGGTCTTCAAGCATGGCTGCAGATAAGCCGCGTTTCACACAGACCAGCCAAAACTATTTGAAAGCTGCAGCAGGCTATTAAAAACCCAACTGGAAATATTGCTTCACATCTTGCGGGCTGCAGCCGACGGCACGTGGCGGGGGGGAAAGACAACCCAACGTCCCCGAGCACTGCTCGCGCGGGCTTTGCCAAGCAATCCTTTTTTGGCAGGGATTGATCACCGGGCTCGCCCCCGCCGCCCGCCCCGCTGCTCCGCTCTGCCAAAGCTCACGCGCTGAGCTCATCCTTGCTGCAGCCGAGTGCCCGCCCGGAGCGCGGGAAGCAACGTGAGTCCTCTCTCCGGGGTGGAGAAGGAAGTGCTGCAGGACGTTTCAATGGGGTGTTCCAATTCTGCTCCTCTTAAAAAAGAAATCACATGCATTGTGCTCTATTTGTAGAGAAGTGAGAGGCACTTTACCCAGGGAGAGGGACGCCATGGGCAGGGTTTGGGATAGTGATGGAGAAAAAGCACATTGCGTGGCTTCAAACTGGCTTCAGGAGACTGTTCTGGCTCTCGCAAACCTTGCTGGCTACAGAAGCAAAGTTACTTCATCCTGGAGAGACGCATGGCAACCAGGCCTTTGGATTTATTTCCAAATCCCATCATAAGCTGCTGCAGAGCATGAAATAAATGCAAGAAACTCACGGTACCTGGAATGCTGCAGGGATGGGACGCTGCGTCCCACAGGAGCCGACACCAGCAGGCACTAAAGGCTTTGCATCTATCTAAGCATCAAGCCAAGCTCCAAGAGCTCTTCCAGATCAAGGACTGAGTTGACTTTTCCTTCAGCCACAGGAGGTGCACCAGCTCCTCACTGTGCTTTGCTTACTGACATCAGCTCTGTCCGGTTGGCGTTCAGTTTGGCTAAAGCTTCTCCGCCAGCTGATCTTACCCAAACGGCAAGGCTCTCGCTGCAAACCAAGCAGGGCAGTGCGCCACAGCTGAATCGCTGGCACCTGGCTGCTTCTCTCCAGGCTAGTTCGCTGCTGCTTCTTCCAGAGAAGTTTGGAGGAGGGTTTATCTTTGCAGCTTCCCCTACGCACGAGATGCAAATTGACATTGATTCCTGTTGAATTTGTCACTCCAGGAAGGATTTGACCCCTTCTGGCACATTCTTCTACCTTTACAACATGCCACATCTGCCATGCAAAGCATGAGTCCTCCACGCCGCAGTAGCAAGCGTGACTGGGACCAGACAGGAGAAAGTCTCTCATGCACGTAGCCAGAGTAGTTCCAGTTCCTCAATGCACAAAACTGACTTCTCTTCAAATTTACAAGCCTTATGGCAACGTTTAGGGTCTGACCCTTTCTGACCAAAGGTCTGAGCTTCAGGAACAGGCATGGTCTTTTCAGAGAGGTGGGAAGCGGCTTCTGCACAGTGCTCAGCCCTGGCACAGTCTGCAAGTACTCCAGTAATCTCCTTTTCTGGATGGTGTGGAAGGGGGCCGATCTGGTGGCTTTAATGAAGGCTAGCAGGAAGGTTTCCTCAGCAGATATGCAATGCATTGTCCCACCTATAAATCTGCTTTTCTGTGGGCCAGAGGATCGCATCTCTCCACATCCACCGCTGGCTGCAAGGAGCCAGGACAACCCAAAGGGGCCGAGAGAAGAGCTGCGTAGGGGCTGGTCACTGCAACCATTCATCTCTCCACCTTTCACCACAGAGAGTTAGCATGTCTTGGTCATTTCAGAAACCTGTGTAAAACATTTTACTGACTAAAATAAGTCTACCAACCTGGAATTAGGGAGGCATCCTCACAGACTGATATCAAAACTCATGATATTCAGGTCACTAAGGACAAGGACACCTCCTTTTGGAGACGCATCCAACTATTTTTGTGGAGCTGAAGGAGAGCGAGAGCAAAGCACACGGGACAGATCCAGTGTAAAGACGAGCGAGGTGGCTCCGTGACAGCTGGCACTGGCAGAGCACTTTAATAGGACACTGGTGACGCCCCGGCATCCCTGATGGTGACAACCCACAAGAAATGCCGCTCGGGAACGGATGTTATAGGCTGCTGCGGGCTGCGTCCCACTTTCCGCAGGCTGCGGGCAGCCCGGATGGAGGCATCCCACAGGCAGGAAACAAGTCGTGTTTATTTGACCCTATTGTAACAGCTCCAACACGGCCGAAATCCAGCAAGCAACACAGTCCTTCGCGTCCACAGAGGGAGCAGCGTCCTCCTGCAAGACCTCACAACAACCCCCCTCCGCCGCCGTCTTACCAGCAGCGCACGGGGATATGCGATTTAACCGAGGCCACACGCGAAGCTCCAGGAACCGAACAGCAGGCTCCAAAATCCTAGGATACAGCTGTCACCTTCACCACTTCCCCTCCGCGACATCATCCAGAAGCGGCCGCGGCCATGGTGTATACATTGCTCTATACAGTCCTGCATAACGTATAGGGACTGAAACATGGTGGACGTTTAAATCAATGCCCGGCTTCCCAATCTCCAGCAACCCCATCTCTAGCTCCCTGCTGCAAGGCGGAAACGAGGTTTCCCC